ACAAAAATCACAACTTTGGGTTGTGACACCATGGTTACAACGGTAATGACAACAGGACGCGCATCGAAACGATCACGGCGCCAGTCCCGATGCGCACGCGGAGTAAGCCTGATCGATGGCGTTCAATTCTCGCGGGAAGACGAAGGAGCAGAAATGCCCCCCTTTACCCCTTTTCTGTCAATTGGGGCCGGAGCCGCAGCTGCACTGTCGCGAAGCCCGTGTGCAGGAATGTGACCTGAGTGTTGAAGCGATTTCTCCGGGGGGCCCCAGAGCGAGCACCAGTCCAAAGCTGGTTCAAAACGGTGTGACTAAAACATCGATGACCGACCATGAGTACACATGCGCAGACAGCACATGGCCTTTCCCCACGAGTGGGCGAACCAAATACGCATGCGCACGGAGGTTATGGGCTGATAAGCAGAACACCGCATTCATCGATAATTGAGAGTTCGCATGCGCAGTGCTCGCCGTGCAAAGGCATCGATTGCCCATATTGCGGATTGCCGCATGCGTCTTGGGAATCAGGGGACGGTGCCGACTAGGAATTATTGGTGTTTTTTCAAAGTCACCCCAGCACTGACGACACAACGAGCGCCGAAACTATGAGTCGCGAGTCACAAGGCGCATACGTAGTAGAAAACAAGCGCTACAGTTCCCTCTGGGACCAATACAAGGGGCAACGGGAAGGGGCCGCATGCTGACCTCGGCGCCGCTCGCTATCTGGGAAGTCGACTGTTGCGTTAAACCATCACTGGGGGACACCCAGCCCGCGTGTGTGCGTAGACGCCCCGCCCTCTCACTCCGGGCCCGCACCCGCAGCCACTGGAGCGCGCGGCGTGTGCAAATGGCCATGTTGTTAAACCATCACTGGGGAGACCCAGTGTGCATGCGCTACGCAGAGCTGCCTCCCAGTCGGGACTGGCCATACAGACGCATGCGCACTTGGGAATAGGTGGCACATCACCTTTGCTGATCAACGGGCAAAGCAAGTGTGCATGTGCCTGGCTGTTAGAGGCTTAACACGGAGAAGTGCGCATACGTATCGCTTGGAGGTCAAACATCAATTACCGGTATCGTGGATGAACGCATGCGTCCTGGAACTAGGGGGACTCTGCCAAGTGCTGAACGCATTGAGGTTTCCATGGGTACCGAGGCAGTGACAACAGGGCTGACCTCCAAAATTATCGAGGCCTGAGTCCTAACGCGCATGCATGCTGGGAACAAAGACAATAGATTCCCCGCGTCTGGTCATTAATCGGGGGAGAAGACAGGGACGCTCCCTCTCCTGTCACTCCAGGCCCGCAACCGTCGCCGCGCGGAGCCGGTGTCCAGGAAAGCGGCTGGGTGCCGTTAAACAACGCCGGGGGGGCTGGGGGTGTCATTAAACCACTTCGCTTACGGAGTACAGCTGTCGGATGACGAAAAAGTCGATGAGCCGCCATCTTTCCGCATGCGCACTCGGGTACGGGTGAGCACCGCGCTTGCCCATCAATTGGCAACGCAAGTTGTCATGCGCATCATTGACAGGCAGATCAATTGAACGCCGAATGTATCGATACTAGTTTAGCGCGCTTGCGCAGCGCCCGCCGTGGGCCCTCATCAGTCGCCGGCCCGGGGGCCTGGACCTTGCGTCTTGCGGATCGGGCGGCTCCGCTCCCGCCTGAGCTCCGGGCGCGGGGACGGCCGTCCCGGCTCCGCGACCGGAACACCGCCTTGAACAGGAAACCGTGGCTGAGGCGGGAGGATGGG